GTCACAGTCTCGATCGCTAATTTATACAATAAATTTCTGGAGCTCTTTGACGAACCAGAGAAAGCTTCTCTCTCCGAAGTAGGTGCAGCTGACAACAAGGTCAACCACATGAAGCAAATTGTCGAAGAAGCTACCAGGAGGATGAACGAAGGAGGATCGACTTCTGATGAACTTCCATCCAATGATACTTCAGTCGAGGGGGAGCCAAGCTCACAAGTCGAGGGGAGCCAAGCTCACAAGTCGAGGAGGAGCCAAGCTCTACAACTGCAACCGAAGGTGCCACAACGCCTGCAACTCCGGCATCACAAGAAACCTCTGAACCTCAAATTTCTCAAAGTTCATCAATCGAGGGGGAGCATGATGATATGACGCTTGACTACGATAGCCAATATGAGCCAGAAGAAATGATCAATGCTGAACTAGACCCAACCTTTGATCCAAATTACCCTCCTCTTACCAAATGGACCAGAGATCATCCTATCTCTCAAGTGGTTGGCGATGTCTCTGAGAAGGTTCTGACCAGATCACAACTGAAGGCAAAACAGACATCCTTATTTTCAAAGGTTGAGTTTTGTATGTTTAACTCATTCGTATCAAAAGTTGAACCGAAGACAGTTAACACTGCCCTCGATCACTCTGACTGGGTTCAAGCAATGCAAGACGAACTGAACGAATTTGAAAGGAACAAAGTCTGGCGCCTCATTCCAACTCCACCAGATGCTTCGGTTGTTGGTCTTAAATGGGTTTTTAGGAACAAAATGGACAAGGAAGGGAATGTTATAAGGAACAAGGCTCGTCTAGTTGTAAAGGGATATTGTCAGGAGGAAGGGATTGATTATGAAGAGACTTTCGCTCCTGTGGCTAGGCTTGAATCTGTAAGAATATTTCTTGCTTATGCTGCCCACAAAAACTTTAAAGTTTTCCAAATGGACGTCAAGTGTGCATTTCTTAATGGAGAACTCGAAGAAACCGTGTATGTGGAGCAACCTCCTGGGTTTGTGAACGAAAAATATCCAAATCATTGCTACATTCTGGATAAAGCTGTATATGGCCTTAAACAAGCTCCGAGAGCCTGGTATGAAACGCTAACAAAATTTTTAAAGATGTCTAAATTCAAACAAGGTTCGGTTGACCCAACCTTCTTTCGCAAAAAGGAAGGTAACCACCTTATGATAATTCAAATTTATGTCGATGACATCATCTTTGGCTCTACGAATCCCAGCTTAACAGCTGAATTCAGAAAGTTGATGGAGACTAAATTTGAAATGAGCTCAATGGGTCCTATTAACTTTTTCCTTGGTTTAAATATTAGACAGGGACCCGAAGGCATCTTTATCAATCAGGAAGCTTACACGAAGACTCTCCTAGCAAAGTTCGGTATGATGGGAGACTCCAAAGTCAAAGTCCCAATGGCATTCGGCACCAAGCTAACTCCATCCCTAGACAAACCAGCTGTCGATATCACGCTCTATCGTCAAATAATAGGCTCACTAATGTATCTAACTGCTAGCAGGCCTGACATCATGTTCTCTGTGTGTTATTGTGCTCGATTTCAGGCAAACCCACGCGAACCTCACATGCTTGCAGTAAAGAACATTCTGCGCTATCTCAAGCGAACCACCTCCTTAGGTCTATGGTATCCATCCAACTCAGGCTTCTTCGTTCAAGCCTATTCTGATGCTGACCTTGGAGGATGTGGACTCGACAGAAAAAGCACAACTGGTGGCTGTCAATTCCTTGACGGGAAGTTGGTCAGCTGGCAATCTAAGAAACAAACGTGTGTGTCGTTGTCTACTGCCGAAGCGGAATACATTGCCGCTGCATCTTGCACATCTCAAGTGATTTGGATCCAGAGTCAACTACGAGACTATGGATTCAATATGAAGAAGATCCCACTATATTGTGACTCTGAAAGTGCAATTAGGATCTGTCATAACCCAGTGCAACACTCTAAAACCAAACACATAGCACTGAGGTATCACTTTATCAAAGATCACGTGGAAGATGGAAACGTCGAAGTTCATTTCGTAAGAACCACTGATCAACTGGCTGACGTCTTTACCAAAGCTCTTCCTAAAGCATCATTCAACAGAATACTGCAAGGGCTAGGTATGATGGAATCAGAGTCAGTACCTCATACTACCTCTCAACCTCAAACGTAAGAAGCGAAACCAACCGAACGTTCGGGTTCGGTTAAACCATCCGACTCGCTCATTACTTCAAAGGTAGTTGTTCTTGGTTGTATATTTCTTGTACAAAATTGTTTTTCTTAGTGTTTGAAAGTATTTTCCAATTGCATGTCTAAATCCCTTGGTTTCTCAAAATTTTCCAAAACTGAAACCTACCGAAGGTTCGGGTTCGGTTTTACAAAATTTCGTTGAACCGAAACCAACCGAAGGTTCGGGTTCGGTTTTCCAAAATTTTGTTGAACCGAAACCAACCGAACGCTCGGGTTCGGTTTTTCAAAATTTTGCTGAACCGAAACCAACCGAACGCTCGGGTTCGGTTTTTCAACATTTTCTGGAACCGAAACCAACCGAACGCTCGGGTTCGGTTTTTCAAAATTTTTCCTAACCAATACTAACCGAACGTTCGGGTTCGGTTTTTCATTTTTTTAAAAGTTTTTTTTTAACTCAATTTTTACTTATTTTTTTTATATAAATCTCAAAAACTCCAAAATTTTTTTTGTGTGTTCGTTCGTTTATGGGGATATAAATGTTGAATTAATTAAGTGTCCCTAGAAGCATGCTGCTGTATGTGTCCCAAGCCTCATAAGATTTTGAATAATAGCCTTCATGACCTAGTATAAACAAACCTTGTCTTCCCAATAAGGCTACCTCATTTATTCTAATCATGAGCTACCTCACTCTCTTCTCACATGAGTTAAGAGTTTTTCTGCTTGGTCCTTATTTTCGCAGCAGAGGTACTTTCTCTTCTTGAACCATCTCTATTACATTTCTCCATTACATTCGTTTCATCATCGTAACCCTTGAGACTCTCAGAAATTACCACTGAGGTTTATGGTTACACAACATTGTGTTTATGATCTTAGTTTCGTGTCACTACGAGCTGAGTGAAACCCAAAATTCAACACCAAATCTGCATTGACAGTGATCAATTAATTTGCTCAAGTTTTCACCAAAGAATTGACGGCTGTACTTTCATGAAATCTCAAATTTTATTTTGTGTGATTCCTATGAAATTGTTAAACACCATAACTTTTCTACCCTTGGGATCCAGCTTTTATTTTTTTTGAGATTTTATATTTTTCCACGCCATTTTAAAATAAATTCCTACCTACTTGTTCAACAGACTACACTGGTCTCACAAGTACTTTGATCCCTTTCTTTCTTATTTCAAGATTAGAATTGTTGCATCAAAGAGTAAGCCACCCCAATGTAGTCTAATTAAAAGAAGCCTTTCAACATTTCTTAAAAAGTGTTTGATCGTAATTCAACGGGATTCCACACTAACACTTTAAGGTCTCTCTTGACCCTGAAGGAAGAGATTCGTGCCCGGGATCATCAGTTTCGTGTCATTATTGACATCACAGTTAATCCTAAAAAGAGTTGTTTTATTTCTTTTCTTTTTACACTCTTTGCACGAAAATCTTTGATTTTCCAAAAATCCGTTACTAATTAATTTCAGGCTAATTTGTTGCATTGGATGTTAATAATTGAGACGTGGTCAACAATCCTCCACGTGGGTAGTTTGTTCAAAAAGATGCGCTTTACAAGATAAGACAAAAGGTTGCTGACTCAGGCGGGAAATAAAAGGATTGAATTTCAACCGGTGGTTAAAAAAAAAAAAAAAAAAAAAAATTCAAAAGGGGCGCGTGTGAATTTAAAACGGCCATCCTTTTACTGACAAAGTGGACGCGTGTGCGATATCCAAGCGTCATCACTCTGGCAATTAAAGGTGCGTGAGGAATTGAAACGGTTTTCTCTCTGAAACGGCGCTTGTTGGGCGGCGTGATCCTAGGAATCTGACATTCTCTCTCCTACGTGATCATCGCACGCCTCAACTGTCATCCATCTGTCACTCAGGAAACCTTTTCGTATTTCCATAGAAGATTTGAAACGATTTTTCTCTTTCCTATCACCCACTATAAAAGGCCGTCTTCACCACCATTTACCTCTTTACTGCCTCCGAAATTTCAAGAGAACTTTTACTCCCAAAAAGCTTTCCTGTTCATCATCTTCTTCATACCTTCAACAATGGCAGAATCCTCTTCTGTCCATGCTACTTCACAGATCCTTCCCATTCGTCCGCAACAATGTCTGGTGATTGACCTCAACCCTCTGGCGTACGACTCCTACATGTCGCCGATCATTGAGTGCTTGAAGTACTCCCAAATAGCTCCAGCTCTCTCAAGGATTGAGTCTGTGCCAATGGTGGCTCTCTCACAGGTGTATGCAACTGCGTATTACGAAAAAGCAGTTGAGCGGGTATTCTTTGAAGCCGCTGATCACAAGACCTCGATTTCTAGGCAACGATTCTGCACAATGCTAGGGTTGGCTGTTGACCCATCGAGAATAAATCCGGAGACGATTCCGGTTGGGCATCTTTACAGCATGTTCTACAATATGGGGTACACGGAGGTCCTCACCTCCGTCGCTAAGTTCAAAAAATCCTGCTTGCCGCCACAGTGGAACAGCTTGTTTACAGTCCTCTTCAAGGGCTTGTCGGAACGAAGCTCAGGATATGACGGTGCCAGTCGACTTTTCTTGTCGATCATGTACGCAGTCTACAACGGGGTCAATTTGGATTTCGGGTTGGTCCTCTGGCAACAGCTCATCCAGAGCCTTTCTTCATCATCACGACATTCTGAGGTGTCGCTTGCCCGGTTCTGGATCTTAATCACAAAGTGGGTGATGGACAAGTTCGACATTCCCACTGCTGATGATGCATCGATGTCTTCTATTGGTACGTTTCATACCAAGAAGATCATCGTCTCTGATGCATCTAAATTTTCGTTTATTGGCTCCATTCCGGAGACAATGTATGCCGACGTGCCCTCTGACAGCAGGCTCATACGGACGATCAAGGAATTCAGGGCAACTGGTCCTAGGGAACTTACACCGGATATGCTCAGGTCCATCCACGATGCAGACAAACCGGTGCCCAGGGGCAAAAAGGCGGACAAAGGGAAGCAAGCGACCAAAGCTCCTAAGGGTCCTTCTCCCAAGAAGAGGAAACAGACAAAGGCTACACAATCACCACAGCCGAAGAGGAGGAAGACACAACCGAAGCGCAAGCTTGTTATTCCCTCTTCTTCAAGTAACTCAGAATATGAGCATTCGGGTTCGGATTGGCTCTCAAGGAGGCGAAACCCCTCAAAGAGGCAACACTCCACCTCGCTCACCTACCCCTGAGATGGAACTTCATAATTCACCAATCCCTTCACATCCTCAAACCATTCCTACTTCCATTCCAAACATAATCCCCACTACTACTATTCCACCAACCTCTTTCCCTATACTACCACCCATTTTTACTGATACAACAACAACCACTGCAAAGGTTACAACCAATGTATCTGATACGGGGGTTCATACCAGTGCAACCGAAACACCACCCATAACCGAACCTCCTCAAACCGAAACCCATACTCAACCACCACCCGGAACTACCACACCCCATACTCAACCTGAACATACCCATACCACAACACCCCCAGCTTCACCACCTCCACCATCTCCAGAAAATGCCTCTGATGGAGACAACCCATTCCTTGGCGGTGATCACATGACCTTTGATTCGGTCTATTTCAGTCCGTTTCAAGTTCAGAGTGATGAAGAGGATGATGCTCCAGTGACAAAGAAGCATCTTAAGGAGCTCAACGAGAAGGTTGACTTACTTCTCGCCTCCTATTCCAACCAACAGTCCTCTTTCTCTGAAGCTGCACTTCAGAAGCTTGTTGATGCCTTCTCCAGGGCTCAGCATGATTCGGTAGCCTCAGCTACTGCCGCCATCGAAGCCTCTACCAAAGCCTGTGAGGCTGCGACTGAAAAAGTCGATAAACTATTCTCCGACGCTTCTATCCTGTTGAAGTCCTTACAGGAAAGCGCTGACGCCACAAAGACAACTTTGGAACCAATTGTTCAGCAATTGGCCAAGTTCGTCTCAACGGAGTTGACTTCGTTCGCTGCCCTTCGCCAAACCATAAGCGACGACAACTTGGCCCTTCGTGCCTCCATCGACGAGCGCCTCGCTAAGCTTCAGGAGGATCTCGCAGCTGAAAACTCCTTGATGGACGTTCTGGCGAGCAAAACCACCGCCCTCAAGATCAAGAGCATGCAGCTTTCAAACTCACAACAACAACTTGAAGCTCTTCGATCCGAAAGGGAAGTCATCAAGACATGTGTTTCGGATGTACACGCTGCCTTATCAAACATCCTAAAAGCACACGATCCTATTCTCAACCACTCGGTGAGGCGAACCCTTGCTGAAAAGCTTTCTCCTGCCATGGACATTCTAAGCAAAATAGAAGGCTTACCATGTTTCGTGTCCATTCCGAAACAAGGGGGAGAAGAGAAGAAGACCGGATCGAAACCACCTCCTTCCTCCAAAGCTACTCACACAACCGAACCACCTTCAACTGGTCAAGCTTCGGGTTCGGGTGTGAAGGACAAAGGGAAAAATATAGTTGAGGAAGAAGATGAAGATGAAGACGATGAAACCATTGCTGACATGTTGAAACGAAAGAACAGTTGCAATGTGGATGATGATGTTAATCGTGTGGCGCGAGAGGCTGAAGAAGCCGAACGCAAGCAGAAGGAAGCCCACGATCTCCTCGAGAGCAGGAAGACTCTCTTCCCTGCCTGGACTCGGAGCGTTTGTTCAAAGAGGCCATAGATACTCCCAGCATCTTATGACTCGAGCCGGTGATTTCGTTCGACTGTGTTAATTCTGTTGATTCACAGTTCGACATGCCGTTGACTCGAAAGGCATTCATCTTCCATGCCTTCTCAAATATCTTTGAAGTCCCTCATCCCAACGCTGAACTTGATAGGGAGCTCATCGATTTCTATCTGAAGGCTGCTCGTCCTCAGTACATAACTTGGAGCGCCCAGAAGATAGTGAACGTTCGGGTATTGAAGCCTTACACCGAAGGAAGATTCATAAACGTTCGGTTCAAGGTGATTCGAGGGTCTGCAAAAACTGAACACCTTTTATCTCTGGCAGATCTACCGAACTTAAATCCTCATGATTGGATTGTTCTGCACAACATTCTCTTGACAAATGAAGCTGAATATGGTCCGATTATAGACCATATCAAGAGGATGATTGTCTGTTATATCATGGAGGTTGCCCTGATGGATCAGGAGGTCGCTACTGTCTTCAAGAAGAAACTGAAGATAGCTCCTGTGGGATCGGCCAGTGATCTCAACCAAATGAAGATGGGCAAGATCGACCCGAGATGCAGCTCGGTTATGTTCACTAGAGCCGAAGGACAAAAATGTCTCTTCGCTTTAGCTGACAAACATCTCTACACCACTGCTTGTCTAGAGCATGTATTATCGATCATTCGAAGGTGTAAAGAGAATGCAGAGGATGATGTTAAGTACTTCAACGACATGATCCAATGGTACATCAGGTTCAGGCAGACGATTCTGGCTCTAATCTCTCGTCTGTTTAACACTGTGAAGAAGAAGGTACCTGGCTCCGCTGCTGGCCCAAGTAACAAGTGAAGGTCTCGCTCCAATTGACGCAAAGGGGGAGATTGTTGGGCTGAAGTTTTGGTTAAGTATTGCGTCGTTGGGCTCGAATGTTTATTTATTTATTTTGTATTCCGGTTTGGGCCTGTCCAACCGAGAACCCATTGTGTTTAATATATAAGTATATGCTTGCATGCATATTAGGGTAATGATTTTAAAGATTAATCTAGAGCGTAACGATAATATCTACAGATTTCTTTAATCGTTCTTGTAACCTACCAATCCTCTACAGTTGATGTTCTTAATCGATCTCTTCTGAGGATTTTGTTTAATCATTCGACACGTTTGATTCAATCTTGTCTCGTTCTTATTTTCGTGTTCTTACAGTTTTATATTTACTTACCTGTTTGAGATCTAATCGATCTTCATAGATTTAAAGGTTTTAAATCTCATCATATAACTTGTCAAAAACCATGTCTAATGCATATATAGTTATATAAGTAAGGTTTGAAGGACTTAGGACCGATAATTCACTCTATTTCATGTTCATTTTGGCCGGAAACCCACCACCACCGTGAGGTCGTGGCTCCCACCATGTGTGTGTGTTATGTTTGTTAGTGTGTGTGTTTATTTTTGGATTTTGCGTTGTAAACTGTAGTTAGAAATTGGAATAGTAAAAAGAAACCCTAACCACCACCGTGAGGAAGTGGCTGTAGCTCCCTGCCGCCACCAACCGCTGTGTTGGGTGGTGGTGTGGCTCGTTTGTATTGTGACTCGTTTGGTATGCTTGGACAGAATGGTCCCACTGAAACCCTAGTGGGCCCAATGAAACCCTAATAGTCCCAATGAAGCCCTAATTGACCTAAAAGCCCAAACATGTGACTAATGTGCCTAATGAAATCCTAATGGGCCTAATGAACCCTAATTGATTAAAAGACCTAATTATTGGCTCTATTGGGCTAAGATAGGGTTAGAAACTCTAATTAGGGTTTAGAAAACCCTAATATTGGATTTATAGGCTTTAGACTTATTGGGACCCACTTTTGGGCCATTGGAATGGAGTTGTGAATTACACCCAATCACACCATATGACTCATCTAGTAGAGTGATTGACTTAATGGATTAAGTCCTTAATGGTTTAAGTGAGAAACACTTAACCTTAATTGTCATTTTATGTGAAACCCTAATTTTGGGGATGATCGAGACTTGCACGAGCATTATTTAATAAACCAAAAATATTAATTAATAATCATATGCAATTAACCTAAGGCAATATTGGACTTAATAGATTAAGTCCTTAATGGGTTAAGTAAGAAACACTTAACCACTAATCGTCATTTCATGTGAAAACTCTAATTTCACTTGGGCCTCAAGTTGGGCCATTTTATTGGGCTTTGGTGATTGGGCCAATAATGGCCCATTAAAGAACAACTATATGGACTAGAATAATCGGATGGGCTTTAGGCTAAGGCCCATATAAGGTTTTGGGTCCAATTTGGAAAATTGGGCCATAGACGGGCCATAGTTTGGGCCTTGATGATTATAAGATATTGGGCCGCTAGAAATGCCAAATGTTTGGACTTGACTAAATGGTTGGGCCTTTGAATAAGACCGTGTAAAGGTTTGGGGCCAATTTTGAAAATTGGCCACATGTTGCGCTTTGGACCATTACTTGAATATTGGACCTTTGGGGTGTGAGTTGGACCTTGGGCTTGGAACCCAATTATTAATTGGGTATTGATGGATGTTAGCAGTTCGGGAATCTGTCAAATAGTAATTGGAGTTGCATCCGTGATACTTCATCAGTGTCAGGTGAATCTCCTCACCATACCAATGGGTCTAAGGCGACAAGGCCGACCCATTTTATGATATATAGTATGCGAGCTGAAGTTGTATTATGTGGCATGTTAGCTGGTTATGTGTTAGGACGTATGTTAGTTGTATATGTGTTATGCTTGTATGGAAGACCATGGGAGAGCCCATGACATTCAGATGTAAGACCATCTGGAGAGCCCATGGCTTTCCTACTATGTTGTAGTGTTTATTGTAGATTCACTACTGATATGTTTGGTATGCATGTATATGTGGTATGCAAGTGATCATGTGATATGCTAATTGTCTTTGTGATATTTGCATGGAAGACCATGGGAGAGCCCATGACACCTGGATGTAAGACCATATGGAGAGCCCATGGCACTCAGATATAAGAGCATGTGGAGAGCCCATGGAGTTCCTATTAAATACCATGGGAGAGCCCATGACACTTAGGTGTAAGGCCATGTGGGGAGCCTATGGAATCCTGGAGTAAGACCCTGGGGACGAGCCAACAAATATGGTGTATTTTGACCATACACTCCCTTGTATAGCCATGCACCCCTTATATATAATCATATATGGTTGTATCACTTTAATATAAGTGTTTCTAGTCCCTAAGGTGACCCCAATGCAATAATTAGTTGTTACAAACACTAATTGTGTGTGTGTATGTGTATATATATATATATATATATATATATATATATATATATATGTCACTATATGGTTATTAGGATTCGTTTGTGCTCAAGTCCGCAATTGACACTCAACAATCTTATATCGACCTTTCATCCGAGTTACTTACTACAGGTGAGTTCATATCCCTAATCAACCTTTTAAATATTTTTAAATTCTTTTATGGGGGGGGGGAATACACGTTGAATCATTATAGTTATTAT